TTTTTCTTATCACCAGCAGATGAGAGTGCCCGTCTCACAGCAGATTAATTATTATTATCAATATTATTGTTTAAAAAAGTGACAATTTGAAAAGCATTTTGTTTTAATTTATGTTTCTTTGATTTCTAGTTCTGTCAAACACTTTTCATTTATTTATAAATCTTTTTCTTTCTTCTGTGTACTCTATGTTTGTTTATTTTTCTCTATAATTTTAGTTTTTTAGATTTATGTACAAGAATTCTTCATTAGGAATATTGAACTTTTGTCATAATTGCTGCAAATATTTTCCCAATATTCTGTTTGCCTTTTAATTTCATTTATGTTGGATATTCCTTCGACATTGCAAAGTTTAACATTTTATGTAATCAACTATTTTCTTTTCTCATTACTTTAATAGTTCTTTTTTCCTGTCTTTATGATGTTCTTCACTATTCCAAAATTCAATTTTGTGTTTATTTACGTTATTTTAGTATTATCTGGGGGCATACATCTTACATACAGAAGAGCCCACAGATCATAAGTTCACAGCTTGATGAATTTTTATAAAGTGGACATACTCATGGAACTAAAACATAGATTTAAAAATACAACAATACTTATTATTGTGTCCCCTTCAGTCATAACCCCTTGCAAATTTACCGCTCTCCTGATTTCCCATGCCATAGATTAGCTTTCCTATGCTCTTGAACTTCGTATAAAAGAGATCATGTAAGAGGCATTCTTTTGTGTCTGGTTTCTCTATCTCAAAATTATATCTGGAAGATTCACCAAGTTGTTGCATTGTTGCCTGTACCAACAGTTCATTCTTTTTCATTGCTATATAACATTCAGCAAAGGGAAGGAAACTGTTGTCATTGATCCATTTTATTACTGATAGACATTTAGGTTGTTTCCCATTTTGGGCTATTATGAATATGCTGCTGTGAACATCCTAGTACATGTCTTTTGGTTAGTATATGCTTGCATTCCTGTTGGGTATATGGAGTGGAATTACTGGGTCATAGCATATGGTTAGGAGCCCTGGTGGTGCAATGGTTATGTGCTTGGCTGCTAATCGAAAGGTTGGTGGTTTGAACTTATCAGCGGCTCCACAGGAGAAAAGGTCTGGCGATCTGCTCCTCTAAAGATTTACAGCCTAGGAAACCCTATGGGGCAGTTCTACTATACCTTATAGGGATGCTATGAATGAGAATCAACTCGACGGCACACAACAACAACAGGGTATGGTTCAGGAGCCTGAGTGGCGCAAGTGGTTTGCGATATCCTGCTAACCTAAAAGTTGGCAGTTCAAACCCACCCAGCAGCTCCATGGAAGAAAGGCCTGGCAATCTGCTTCCGTAAAGATTATAGCCAAGAAAGCCCTATGGAGCAGTTCTACTCTGTAACACATGGGGTTGCCACGAGTCGGAATTGACTCCACAGCATGGGTTTTATGGTATGGTTTAGCTTTAGGAGCTGCTCCCAAACAGTGTTCTAAAGTGGTTCCCAGCAGTATCTGAGAGTTCTGGTCACTCCACATTCTTACCAGCACTTCATAGTGTCTTGGACAGACAATTTTTGATGAGAAGATGATAATGAAAACCTCACTTTGCTACAGTTATTGTAATAACCTGGCATTGGGCTGGCCATTTTACCTATATTACCTCTTTTTATCCTTAAACAACCTTTCAAGGGAGTCACTATCTTCAATTTACAGACGGCAAAGCTACAGCATCAGTGAGGTTAAGTAATTTGCCCAAAGTACCCGTTAAGCAGTGGTGTAGGGTTTGAACCCAGATCTGTCTTATTACTAATCCCAGACACTTTCTAGTGGAGGTAAACTGCAACTCTTGTTGCTCTGGATGTAAAGGGAAAGCCCTAGGCATTACGATGTAGCATGAAGGAATTCATGTGGCTACTGCAGGGGCACCAACTGAGTGGTAAGAAGTGAACACAGCTCTAAATCCCTACCTGAAGGCTAGTTTGTGACACCCTATTTTGGGACATTGAGCATGAGCATCTGTTATTTAGGTCAGTTCCAAACATTGCCCAGTGGGTGCTTTTTTTTGAGGGCTGGCTCTGATACCAGAGGGGTGTGCCTCGTGTTTAAGTAGAGTGACATACACCAGTTTTAGGGTAGAGAGTTAGCGCAGTGAGTCAAGTCTGGGGCCAGGGAAGAAGCATCTGTAGCAGCAGGTCTATGCTGCTCTTCTCAGAACTGATGTGGATCAGCACCCAATAGCCCTTCAGCTCTTGCCTTCCCAGCCTGGGCTCTACGTAATATCAGGGGCATCTACTCTTTAAGCTACCACACATTTGTCAGTTTGTCATAGTGTGGTGGCTTGTGTGTTACTGTGATGCTGGAAGCTATGTCACTGGGATTTCAAATATCAGCAAGGTCATCCATAGTGGACGCATTTCAGCAGAGGTTCCAGACTGAGACAGACTAAGAAAAAAGGCCTGGTAATCTACTTCTGAAAATTAGTCAATGAAAAACTTAAGAATCACAACAGAATACTGTCTGGCTCTCTTGCTTTGGACACATGTCGTCAGGAGGGGTCAATCACTGGCGGAGGACATTGTGTAGTGGGCCAGCAAGGGCATGGGAGACCCTTGGTGAGATGGATTGGCGCAATAGCAGCAACGATAGACTCAAACGGGTTGGTGATCATGAGGAGGACGCAGGGCCTGGCAGTGTTTCATTCTGTTGTACATAAGGTTGCTATGAGTCAGAGTGGACGTGACCTTTAGGTAACAACAACTCTTTTAGGAGCATAGCCAGGAGCTAATCCACCTTCTGCTTGCTTGGTCCTGGATAATACAGTGGAAAATTATTTCATGAAGCAGGAAGAAAAAACCTGCTGCCAAATAATCACCATTCCACCAAAGACACTCAGTAGAATTAAGTATTTAGACACTGCTTTTATCAGGTGTTGTCTAGGTACCTCCACATATAGCATTGTATCTTCACACTGACCCTGAGAGATAAATATTTCTATTACCCCCATGTTACAGGTGTGGACACTGGGCCTTCAGTGAGGTTAGAAAACTTGTCTGAGGGTACACAAAGGGAGAAAAATGACACAACAGCTCCATTGTAACAAAGCATATAGAAAGGAGAAGTTTGGATCTTTTTGAATCATGAATTGTGTCTTTAAGAAATCTATGAGAGTATATTTAAAAAATATACTTTTATTTTAAAAAAAGGCAATAGAAGAACATGGAATGGTTTCCCACTGAACTGCTGAAAATTTATTCTGGAAAGTGAAAACTTACAAGAGAGGATTCTAGTATTCTGGGCCAGCAACACTTATTTATGAACCATGTAACAAGTGGGTCCAGGGACTCCTTGCCTATAAAATTACCGCACTGATGAGGTTCTCACCACTTCAGTTGTTGTCACATTCTAGTTTGGGGCCAGTGCAATTAATTTAGAAAGTAGAAAGTGTCTATTTTAACTGGTGTTTAGCTTATTTGTCCCTTAAATTTTGGTTTTAAATTCTCTTCTGGTTTCAGTAAACCTGTGCATTTTTTTTCCGCTTTATTCTGCTGTTTGGTTTCATTGCCTGAGTGGGTCACAGACTTAGGTGTCCCAGTGTATGTATTCCTTGCACACATTACAATCCAAGTGCGGCAGCCTGAGCTAAACAAGAACCATTCAGGAAGGAGCAATGGGCTCACACTCAGCGGGTGCTAGTTGTGCACACAGGTTTGATCCTGACCCAGATGGCCTTGGATTTGGGCTGACTTCACAATAGCGAAACAGCTAAAGAAGAAGTCAGGCACAACACACCCGAACTCTCCTGCTTTAGTCACAAAAATGGAATAAACCATCAGAGTGCATTCCCCGAAACCCTTAGAACCCTCCACGTTCGCGCTTAGGAACCGTTCTTCAAGAACCAGTCAGTGGGCTCAGCATCCAACCAACCCCGTTCCAGGGAAGCGGCCCACATTCTAAGACCCGGATGCTTTCTTCCTTCCCCGGGCACAGAAACGTGCTGCTAGCAGTAGCAACGACAAGCAAATAATGTGGTATGTGCGCTCTTAATCTCTATTTTAATGTCTCCAACAATCTAGTGGTTAATTAGCAATTTGCTGCCCACCAATATGCAAATGAATGACAAGCATTGGCCCTCTGCATCTGTAATTATTTTGCTGATTTACAAGCCACTTTCCTCTCTGTGTAGATTTTTCTGTGTGTGTGTGCATTCATGCATCAGGGATTTCATTATTTTTAGAAGCATACTCTGTGCATTTTTATGCTTTGATACTTTCAGGCTTCAGTAATTACAGTATTTTGGAGATATACATGCATTTTCTTCCCTGTAACTCCGAATGCATTTATCAGGGAGTCTTTTCTTTTGTAAAGAGTAGAGAGTAAGATTTATCAAAGGGCTGAAATCCAGATAGCAGGAGAGCGCGCAGGATTGAAAGATACACATTTCTGCTGCTGCCAAATTCTTCCCTGGAATCGGAGGAGTCTTGTAATATTTGATTTTCTCCCAAGCAGCTCTGGCGAGCCGAGCCCTGATCCACGTTTATCCATCTGCCTACTTTGGAGCCGGGTGCTTTACGATTTGGCGGCGTAAACGCTTCCCGTTTTTGCCAGGGCACTAAGAAAGGCTCTCATGTTAAATTAACTCAATTAATAAATGGAGACACATTAAGCAATCAATTTTGTCAGCGTATCTCCCCAGCATTATGTATGGCTGGCTGTAATCACAAGATAAATGCAATGTGCTGATCTATGGTAATGTTCAATAATACATTCTCCGCCAGGCTCAATTCATCAGGGAGTTTCGGTAGGGGAGGCATTTGTTATTGGCTGTCTCTGCACCTCAAGGATAACATTTCTGTCCTTTTGATTGGCCGCCTCACTGCTGCAAGATTCTAACGGTCTTATTTTGATGATGAATATGAAGGCGCGCTAAGCTGGGCTGGAGAGGAGTGTCTCTCAGGCTGCGCTCCTTCCACCGCCCCCGGACTCGCAGCTTCCTCCGCGGCTTCCCTGTGCTACCCACCCCCCAAAAGTTGTGATGCTTTTCTTCACCCAGTGCTTTGGGGCTGTGTTAGATCTCATCCACCTCCGGTTCCAGCACTACAAAGCTAAACGGGTTTTCTCCGCTGCCGGGCAACTTGTCTGCGTCGTGAACCCCACGCACAACCTAAAGGTGAGTTGCTCGCTCTTTGATTTGATATTCACGCCGCTCCGGGTCAAGCACTTTCTCCGAAGGCGTCTGCGACCCCTTCCCCCGTGTGTGCATGCAGCACCTTGCAAACGCGCATTCCTTCATTCACTGGCGTGGTGTGGGGCACTTGGAGAGGTTTGCTTTGGCTCTTTCTCGCGCTCTAGGCGCCTTGGTGTTATTAGTGATAGTGTTTTGCTTCCGTGCCGGGCAAGAACTGGAGTGATAGCCTAGTTTCTTTTCCTCAAGCTTGCTGTCTAAGAGTGCGGTGCGAGCCAGAAGTGAGGGTGGTGAAGGGAGTAGGGGTGCACCCCGTCTCTCTCCCAAATATATGCGGGCAAGTCCTCAGCAGCCACAGTTTGAAAAGTTACCGTCATTGTAGTCTGTTCCCTGTGTTTGTAAAGGCACTGAAGTGCATGAATTTTGGCAACCCCTTCTGACTGCTGCCAAAGTCGCTTCGGGGCTGAGGAACAGACTTGAGGCAGGGATCAGGGACCCGGGAGTTGGCTAGGTGCTCCTTCTGCAAAGTGTTTGTCCTTGTCCTCAGACTGGGCAAGTGCGTGTGTGTGTGTGTGTGTGTGTGCGCGCGCGCGCGCGCGCGCGGGTGGGTGGGTGGGTGAGTGGGTGTGTGTGTGTGTGGAGGAGCTTACCCTGCCTCCTTCCGGAGCCGTGCCCCTTCACCTGAGGAAAGAGGAGGAGGGGTTGGCTTCAGCTGTATAATAATGAAACCATCTCGAAGCTGCTGTTGCCTGACTCACCACAGGCGGCTGCTGTGCCATGTAGCCTGTGGATGCTGAGCCGAGCGTCTGGCGCCACCTCTGCGTTTGCGCCTTCGGGTCAATGACCTTTAAGGGAAGAGCCAAAATATGGGATCTGGGAGGACTGCTGCACAGCACAGCCCAGACTGATGGGGGACCAAAGGAAGAGGCATTGCCTCGGAGTGGTGGGGAAGACAGGAAGGCAGTGGGGCTGGAGGGGCCAGTGGGAGGGCACAGCTGAACTCACCAAATGGGGAACTTCCAGGTACCTTGGATCTGTCCTGTAATAAAAGATAGACTCGTTGGGAGTTGCTCTCCTGTCCTTACTTCACCCGAAGGCTCAGTGACAGGGGAAGGGCATGTCTGCAGTGCCAGAACAATCTCTGTGAGGCTAGATCTGTCCACCTCGCCACTACTGCTGGGCTCAGCGAGTGTGTGGCTTGTTGCTCATCACTTTGTAAACTCCTACTAGTCAGACTCTCCTCAGCCGGCGCCCAGGTCAGCGCTGATGGGCCCTCCCATGGGGTTTCCTGGAAGTCCCTGAGGCCATATGCCAAGGAGAGTCCTGGGTAGAGGGACTGTGGACTGCTCCGGGCTGCCATGGTTCACCCATCCTGGGAACCGGCTTTCTGTGGTGCCCAAGCTTGTGACTAACTCTCTGTATTCAAGCACCAGATCTCTTTCTCTCTCTCCCTCAATCTCTCTCCTCCCTCATTCCACTATTTCTTTTTTACTTCATGGCTTAGTTTTATAAATGAGAATTCACCACCAGTCATTCTTGGCAAAGCAAGTGTATGGTATACATATTAAAATATGATTCTGAATTCCATTTTATGGCCACTTTGGAGACTGCATTCCAACTTCCATTATTTTGTCACTTTATATTAGTTTGTTCCCTGTGGCAAGAAATTTTGTGTACTCCTGTTTTGCATTTTAATACCTTTAAGCATTGTTTTTTTCTGAAGTTTGATGTATACTGTTCACTGATGGGGCTGATGAAGAGGGGAGCTAGGTGAGCTAAGGTGTTGGTGGGGGTGGGGGGAAACGGTTTCTGTATATTTTCTGTGTTGATTCACTGGACCTCCACATGTAGTCCTGCTGTCCTGACCCAGCAGTCCGGAGTCAGGGTTGTCCAGAGCGTGACCAGCTGGGTGACCTCGAGCAACTCTGTCAGCCTTTCCTTCCTCCCCTTCAAAATGGGTGTAAGAATATCTGTCCTGCCTCCTGCACGGCTTTGTGAGGCTGGAAAGATATACGCGAGGTGGATGTGCTTTATTAACACTCTCTTCCAAACAAAAAAGTATGTTATTGCAATGTTTTGTAGAGTTCCATTGTGGTTGTTAGCTGCTGTCGAGTTGGTCTCCGACTCATGGCTATCCCATGCATAATGGAACAAACCGCTGACTGGTCCTGTGTCATCCTCATGATCAGTTGCAGGTTGGACTGTTTCGAACTACAGGATTTTCATTGACTGATTTTTTGGAAGGCTCACCTGGCCTTTCTTCCTAGTCCATCTTAGTCTAGCGGCTCTGCTGAACCCTGTTTAGCACTGTAGCAACATGCAAGCCTCCACTGACAGACAGTTGGTGGCTGCGCTTGGGGTGCATTGGCTGGAATTGAACCTGGGGCTTGAACCCGGGTCTTCCACGTGGAAGGCAAGAATTCTACCACTGAGCCACCACTGCCTGCCCCAGAGTTCCATTGGAAACTTCAAAAGTTGCCACTTAAAGCCTTTAGCCAACTTAGCCATCATATAAGCAGTAACATAAAAATAGGTGACATATGCTTTGAGAGGCTATTTTCCATGCCTCACTTTTTCACATACACTCTCATTTGGCTTTTCATTTCCAGTAAAAAAAAAAAAAAAAACACTTAGACATTTTGCTCAGACAAGCGTCACTGCAGGTAAACAAAGCTGAGAGCTGCTGATGCTACCAGGGTGTGCTGCCTGGCATGCAGAGATTCACAGAGGGCTATGCTGGACAGGGAGAGGCCCCTGCAGCCCAGGCCACCTCTGTGGAGGTTTCTTCAGGCACCAGGTGCTCATCCGGGGTCCAGCTGGCCCATCAGGTAAGTTTTACCTGCTTCTCAGACCTGAGAATTAACAGCCATTTGCAGAGCATTGAAAGCAACAATTCTATAGAAGAAATGCTGCCCCATCCTTTATATTAATAGGTGCACAAAACCTTAAAAAAAAAAAAAAGAAGAGTGCTCCTTCTAAACATTTATTTCCCTAAACAGACCATGCAAGTATGTCTTGGGTGTAATAAGCTGCAATCCATGTGTGTGTGGGGGGGTCCTTCTTTACTGTGGGGGAAAAAAAAAAGAAAGCCGTGGAAGTGTTAACCAGGAATAGCTATTGATCTGTGGCGCTTTCCCACACTTCGTATGACAGGCGGGTACACGAAATGGTGACCAAGACAGACAGCAACCTTGCTTTCAATTTCCTGAGTTGCAAGTAGCTACAAGGAGGGGCTGGAGAGCCTGTGTTTCTTTCTTTCTTTCTTTTTGTGGAAGCTTTTTTGCACTTTGTCCTTTCCGGGGCATTCCTGAAAACCCCAACAGCATTTTAGGACCTGAGGCAAGTGTTGAGTTATAATCAAAATTCACTTACTGAGCAGAGAAAATCGTGTATTTACTATGCTTCTATAGGTCACCTTCATTCTCATTACAGTGATTACTCAGTAACCTGGAATTCCTTCAGGCAAGCAGACGCCTTTCTTTCTAAGTGAAAGGAGAAAGCCTTCCTGGCATCTCACACTCTCAGGTTAAAGCCATTCCACTCATTAAGCCCACCCCTTTTAAAAGGGGTGCAGAGTAGAGGGCTCCTCCATGAAGTGCCTCAGCTTTAAGGAAGCCCTGGGCACAGCAAGAAACCATAGCAGAGCCCTCTGCATGGAATGCAGACGAGACTGCATTTCGTTGTGTGTCTGTCTGTCTGTCTGTGCCTGAAGACTCAGTTGCACAGTTTTCGGTTCTGAATGATGCCTCCCTACTCCTTCCCACCCAAGGACAGTACGCCACCCAGGAGCCAGCTCTCTGGCTGGCTGCCCTCCCTTCTGCATTCATGGAGGTTACTGAAACAGGGCCAGCAGGCTTCAGGCTGGCCCTGCGGAGGCTCCTTCTCCTGGCCTGATTCAGCACTCCTGTCCCCGAGTCCTTTGCTTGTTTCCAAACCAAGAAAGGCTTTCTCTCCTGGTTCCTCTCCCAGCAGCACTAGCTGCTTCTGTAATGCCCCGTCCTGGGCAGGCCTGCCTTCTTTGGCCCAGTCTGCAGAGGCGCCTTTAAGGGGTGGATTAGCCACTACGCCTGGCCAGCCCCTACACCCAGGCCACTCCAGGGAAGGGTCTGCGGCCCCCACCCCTCGGGGTTGGGTCTCAGCACTCCCAAACAGCAGTTGGCTGAGCTGAGGCCGGCAGACTGGCTTCTCCTCTTAACCACAACCCTCCATAAACAAGTTCCTGAAAGAGGACTAGCACCGTGCTTTCTACAAACTTCCAGAAGGCCCTCACTGATGTCTGCACCAGTGCTGGTGCCAACCCTGGGCCCTAGTGCCCCTCTGTACATCCAGGCCTCAGGGGAAAGCCCCCACCTCTCCCGGGGAGGCTATTAGTACCTCCATCTAGCTGGTCCCGTGATCCCTCGAGCTGTCTCTACTGTAACCCATTAACCTTGGGGTTACAGACAGAAGCGCCCGCACAGACACACACGCACTCACACGTGGGATGGCAGGGGCAGTCGGGCCAGTGATGCCTCTGTTTAAGAGCCTGACAGACCCTAAATCTAAAACTGGGGCATTTCCATATCATTCATTACTCGAAGCTGCCATACACCGTTCCTTCTAAAACCAGTCTCTGTGGTTAAATGCGTGTCGAGTGACGTGGCAAGAGGGGGAGCTGTCTGCAGGTGGGGGTGGGATCATCAAAGGCCAGGAAAAGAGGAAAGATGGGTGGCGAATCAAACATCATCTCCACGTTTCTGGGAAAACCTTTGGCGATCCCGTGTCGCCTGGGGCTTCCACAGTTCTCCTCCAGCACTAACGGAGCTTGACACTGCACAGCAGGCAGCCGAATGGGAGCTGAAGACTTGTTGTTTCTAGAGATTTAGAGAAGGCCTTTGGAGCGTTTGGTGTGAATACCTGTTGTAAAGCAGTTAGGCTTCTGACAAGACTCTTAAAAGCTTCTGTGTGGATTACTCAGCTATGGACAGAGCCACCGCTGAGTTATG